GACAATCCATGTTTTCTCTAACAAACCTGGATAAACTCTCTAGAAGTAGTGAAGGGAAAAGCAGCAAAGTGCCATCAATGCTGTGACTCCTCCCCTGAGTTCACCAGGCATAACCAAAATTAAAGCCCCCAACAAGACAGCCATGAGCTAGACCCCCTCACAGCAAAGCCTTAGCCTTCATCAGCTCAGCTCACCAGAACTAGAGACAAGCCACTAGAAAAGATCTGGTGAAAGTGTTTTCAAAAAACACATCTGATGAGTTATTCAGGTACACATTTGATCCAAAGTGCAGACTAGGTGCCTCTATGTAAATGTTTTCATTCGAATATTCATTCAACCTGGGACAGATGCGTAGGTAGAGATGGCCCTCTCACCCTCAGGTTCTGCATCTGTGGATTCAACTAGCCACAGACAGAAAAAAAAAATTTAATTCCAGAAAGTTGCAGAAGGCAAAACTTGAATTTGCTGTTCACATAGTATTAGGTATTGCAAGTAATCTAGAAATGATTCAAAGTATTCTAAGGATGTGCATGAGTTATATGCAAATACTATACCATTTTATATAAAAGACTTGAGCAACTGTGGATATTGGTATTTTGTGGGGGGGTGGTGTCCAATCTCCCATGAACACCAAGGGACGTGTGTAACATTAAACAAAGCTATAATAAACCAAAGACAGAACAAAATGTACAGACCAAATAAGAGCAAAATCTCAACCTCTCTGTAGTTTCAAAGAAAATGGGTGTGTGTGTTAGTCACTCAGTCATGTCCAATTCTTCGCGACCCTGTGGTCCAGGTTCCTTGGTCCATGGGATTCTCCATGCAAGAATACTGGAGTGGGTTGCCATTCCCTTCTCCAGGGGCTCTTCCCAACAGGGATCAAACCCAGGTCTCCTGCATTGCAGGCAGATTCTTTACCATCTGAGTCACCAGGGAAGGCCTCAAAGAAACTAAAAAGAACCTTTAAAAAGAGAGAACAAAATAATAAAGAGGAAAAGAAGCGAACTAGCTTAGCTCAGCAAGTAAAGGATGGTAGAGCTCCTGAAATCAAAGAGCTAACATAACAGACTGGAGACAGCAATTCTGAAAGAAGCCTGCTTAGAAGGTGGCCCTTGGCTGGCATTTGATAACTTGACTGGGAAACAGTTCCCAGCGCTGATATAAAACCAGCTCTAGTAACAGTCAACTGCTGTTTGTACAAGCAGTGTGGTCATTCTCAGCACCGGCTTTCCTTTTGGGAGTCTGGGATTTGGCACATGCCAGGCAGAGCATGCCTGCCAACTGAAACCCTGGGTGACGCAGCTTCTAATGGCCGCCCTCACAGACAACGATTTTACTCACGTCAAAACGGACTGCTGAAAGAATGAAGCCCATCCTGGTTAACTCCATGGGGAGCAACTTTTTGGAAGCTCATGCCGGGTTTCCTTCTGACTCTACCCCATACACGTTCTCCCTTTGCTGACATGGCTTTTGTACCCCTTTCATGCCATAAATCCTTGCCAATAAATCCCTGCCTAGATGCTGAGCTCTGTGGAGTCCTCCCAGCTCATTACTGACCCTGGGCTGTCTAGGAGAGCCCAACACAGGGAGCATCCTCACTGGAAATCCAACATACAGAGTATTAGTGCCCTCCTAAGACAGAAGGCAGTGGTATGTAACGGAAAAATATTCAAAGAACTACCAGAAGACTTATCATTGAAAAATTCCACTGTGTTTCAATCAAAATTAAGAGGATAACCAAAATCAAGGGATACCCCAGCCAAGTTTCTACAGTCCAATGCCTAAAAGTTCTCATAGACCTCCAAGTGAAAGATCAAGATTTTGTTGCAAAAGGGAAAATACTTTTTGGCCTCAGATTTTTTTCACAGCTACATGTGAGGCCATAGATTGTTAAAGCAGTGTCTACACAGTTCTAAAGGAAATAACATGTGACCTGAAATGACTACATATACTTAACCAAGTTCTTGCTTACATATAAAGGCAAAAACAAAAAGACTTCCCATGTGGTTCAGTCAGTGGTTTGGAATCCACTTTGCAATGCAGGGGACACAGGTTTAATCCCTGGTCGGGAAACTAAGGTTCCACATGATGTGGGGCAACTAAACCTGTGAATCACAAATACTGAACCCACGCACTCTGAAACCCAGGTCCCACAGCTGGAGAGAAGCCCACGTGACACAACTAAGACCCAATGCAGCCATAAATAAATAAATATTTAAAATAAATATAAAGGCAAAAAGCAATTCTCAAGTGAGAATGTAAAGAGAGGGTACAAGAAACATCCCTGGGAGAAGAGAAGCAGGTGCTGGAGACCTGCTAAATCAGGGGTCCCCAACCTTCTTAGCACCGGGGACTGGCTTCATGGAAGATAACTCTTTCATGGACTGGGGGGTGTGGATGGTTTGGGGATGATTCAAATGCATTATTTTTATTGTGCACTTTATTTCAATTATTATTACATCAGTTCCACCCCAGATCAGCAGGCATTAGATCCAGAAGGTCGGGGACCCCTATGCTAAATGACAATATCCAATCACTCAAGACAAAGAACTCAGAAATAAACTACTGTTATTGCAAAAAGCCAAGCACTGCATTCACCTGAATTGAATACAAATGTTACAGAGCTTTATAATGTTAGAGAAAAAAAAAAAAACAGTAAATAAAAATTGGTTGGTGGAAGTTTTAGGGCAGCTCTAAGAATTTCTTCATTTTTCATAGTGGAAAGTCAAAAGATACCTAATAAAACTGGTGTGAGTTTAAAAGACAAAAAAAAGCTGACATGCTCCTTGCAGAAATGAAAGGTAGGTATATGAACCCACAATCCTAAAAGATCTCTCAATGCTTGCCTGTAACTCACCGTCTGTGTTACACAGTTCACTAATGTTTTAATGAATAGCTTACTCACTACAAAGAATAGGATGAAAGGATTATTATGAAGCCAGTAAGAAGAACGAAATAGTTACATAGATTATGGAAAACTATGGGCATCATGGAATGATGTCCAGTGTATTCCAAAATGAATCGCAGATCTCAGAAAACCTGTGACAGATCAACTATAGTAACTAGTTGGTTTAAAACTAAATAGGAATGAGAGAAATCAGAACAGTGCTTTCCTGGTATGGGGGGCAGAATGCAGAGAATTTTCTGGTGATGAAAATGGTATATATCTTGATGGGGGTGAGTCCTCAATCAGTTCAGTATCAGTTCAGTCGCTCAGTTACGTCCATAAACCGCAGTACACCAGGCCTCCCTGCCCATCACCAACTCCCGGAGTTCACCCAAACCTATGTCCATTGAGTCAGTGATGCCATCCAACCATCTCATCCTCTGTCGTCCCCTTCTCCTCCTGCCCTCAATCTTTCCCAGCATCAGGGTCTTTTCAAATGAGTTAGCTCTTTGCATCAGGTGGCCAAAGTATTGGAGTTTCAGCTTCAGCACCAGTCCTTCCAATGAATATTCAGGACTGACTTCCTTTAGGATGGACTGGTTGGATCTCCTTGCAGTCCAAGGGACTCTCAAGAGTCTTCTCCAACACCTGACTATATAGTTGTATGAATTTAGCAAAACTCAGAACACTTAAGTAAGACTCCTCCATTCACTAATGCAATGCTCCTCTTAACAAAAATATACAATGAGTTTACAAACTCAATGTTTTTAACTGCAAAAGTAATACTTGTTTACAGTAAAAAAAAATAAAATAAAATAAAATAAACCAGAAATGTTACAAGCAGAGCCTCTTCTTATCTAGTTTCTCCCAACTTCCTCAGAGTTAAGCACCCAGAATTAATCCCTGTTAACAGCTGGGTATATTATACCCTCCAGACTTTTTTCTGTGTATAAATAAATATACATAAATCTGTAGTATTTAATTGCAAAAGAAATGTGATTATCCTACACAGAGCATCATGCTTTGGGTATTTAATTAATCATAAATATTATTATTTATTTGTACATATAATTCTACCACATTTAAGTCTGTATAATATTCCACTGAATGGATAAACCAAAAACCATCGCTCTATTGTTGACCACTAAATTATCAATACTTTAAAGATTTAACAAAATGAACATTTTTGTGTTTATTACTATTCTTAGCGGTATTAAAAATTTTTTATCACAACTAGGGATTTTAAAATGCTCTTTGGGAACAGAATTCCCATTATAATATGAAAGCCTAGTATTTTTTTTTTCCTTTTTTAAACACATGGCTTCCAAACACAGTATCTCTTCTATTTAGCTGTGCTTAGTCACTCAGTCATGTCTGACTCTTTGCGACCCCATGGACTGTAGCCCGCCAGGCTCCTCTGTCCATGGGATTCTCCAGGCAAGAATTCTGGAGTGGGTTGCCATTCCCTCCTCCAGGGGATTTTCCCAACCCAGGGATCAAACCCAGGTCTCCGCATTGCAGGCTGATTCTTCACCGTCTGAGCCACCAGGGGAGCCCAAGAAGACTGGAATGGGCAGCCTACCCCTGCTCCAGGGGGTCTTCTCAACCCAGGGACAGAACCGGGGTCTACCGCATTGCAGGAGGATTCTTTACCAGCTGAGCTACCATGGTAGCCGGTTCTACTCAGAGAATACAGTAATTTAACATCATCATGAATCAGTAAAATTTTACAAATATATCAATTATGAAAATAGGAAACACTGCTTTGTATTTGCTTTGTATTTCTGTTGTAGCTCAAAAAAAGTTTTAATTTAGCAGTGGAATCTCTTATGATATACAAGTAAACAAATGTCTTACGGAATGAAAAAAAATCAATCACCACTAAATGGAACTAATATGCATTCCTCTCAAGATAGCTGAATCCATTCCCAGTGTTTCTTTGCAGTATTTTCCATGACAGACAATGTAGTCAACATTTATCAAGTCTGTGAATTCCTATCTAAATAAAGTTGCTAGTAGAGAAATTTAGTACTATCACCAAACAGCAAAAAAAAGAACCTGAGACAAATTTTTACTTATAAGCATACAATTTTAAAATGAAATAGTTACAAACCTAGGTCCAATAACAGGAATAAGTAAGACATCCTGAAGGTCTGGATGCTGAAGAATAGGAAAACTTAATCCATTAAACTGCTGTTGAAAATAAACACAGAGGATTACAAAGCAATCAACACACTGGGTAAATTTCAAATTACAGAGCTTTTCACTGTCATTAACTAACAGAGCATAAAGTTTGATTTAGGATTATTTTCATTTTTTTCCATGGGATACTACCACAAAAAAAAAAAATCAAAGACTTCAAAACAACATTTTCTCTATAATTTGATTCTCAAGTTTATAGACTTCTTTACAAGTAAAAGGCTCAATTTTGTTGAGTGTTTGACTTTGTAAACACAAACCATGTTGACCTTAAGTGACCTACTTTGAAAACACATATCCAATATAGAGTTTCATGAATAGGACATTAAAGACTGAGAGTTCTAAATGCTGTGTATTATATATTATCAACACTGAATGCCATGTTGGTTTTTTGTTTGCTTGTCTGTTTTTGGATGCACCGTGGCACGTGAGATTTTAGTTCCCCTACCAGGGATTGAACCCATGCCCCCTGCAGTGGAAGCACAGTCTTAACCACTGAACCACTAGGGAAGTCCTGCCAAGCCAGTTTTGATTATGCTTCCTGGCAAAGGCTGAGGATATTCAGTATCCTCCACCATACTTGGCATTCAGACTAGAAATACGTGCTGGGCCAGCAGTGTAGGTGCCAAGGCCAACTCCCAGTCTCATAGGTATGGAGAATTAAATGGCAACCCACTCCAGTATTCTTGCCTGGAGAATCCTGTGAACAGAGGAGCCTGGTGGGCTGCTGTCTATGGGGTCGCAGAGAGTCAGACATGACTCAAGTGACTTAGCATGCACGCATGCATGGGAGAAGAAAATGGCAACCCATTCCAGTATTCTTGCCTAGAGAATCCCAGGGACAGAGGAGCCTGGTGGGCTGCCGTCTACAGGGTTGCACAGAGTCAGACACGACTGAAGCGACGCAGCAGCAGCAGCAGTCTCATGGGAGCCAACTGTGTGCATCTCTTGCCAAGTCAGTCATGCTAGCAGCTTGAAACTGACCAGAGTGGGAGCATTTACACCACAAAAATCAGCAAACACTACAAACCAGCATTATTTTTCCCAGAAAGGGGGTTGTTTGGTATGTACCAGCACACCATGGCTGCAGACAGCACACAACTGGGCATTCCCCATAAAAGAGGGGAATGGAGAGCAAGGACTCTGTGTCTATCAGAGGGCCACACACAAATACTGGAAAACAAGTCTCTGCTGTGTGCTACTGATTAGACTCATACACCTTCACATACCGCACCAAAGCAGTAACAATAATAGATACTAGTGCTGCACTGCAGTATCAGTACACTAGCTATTGAAAACCCAAAATCAATCTATTTCTAAGTCGAAAAGGAAAGAGAACAAAAATTCTTCAGATTTTGGAAATCAGACTATTTTATCTCTACCAAGTCAACAGCTCTTCTGAGTTCTACTTCCTCTGAGGAAAGGGAATTTCAAACTAACCATACCCAACAGCACAGTAAGACATGTTAAGGGTGAACTCCTCAAACAAACCTCTCTGCTCTTCCCCCTCTCCCCGTCATGTTCTCTCATTGTCTGATACCCTAGCAGGACTCCCCAACCTCCGGGATGATCTGAGGTGGAGCTGATGAAATAATAATAGAAATAAAATGCATAATAAATGCAATGCACTTGAATCATTCCAAAACCATCCCCCTCCTGTGGTCCACGGAAAAACTGTCTTCAACTGGGAGAATGGAAAAACCAGTCCCTGGTGCCAAAAAGGTTGGGGATTGCTGCCTTACAGTATCCAGACTATGATCCTTCCAAGGAGAAGATAATGGATTTTGTCATTTGTTTTTCTTTTGCTTCAGAAGCACTACCTCTCCACACTACAGAGATATTCTACACAGTGATCAACCCTGCTTGGGCCAACATATTCCTTCTCTCCTTTTCTATCAGATATTAAAACAATACAGAAATAAAACTTTCATAAAACCACATATGCCTAACTTTCATAAAAACATCATGTACTTTTTTTTAACCAAACATACCACGGGCTTCTTTTTCTGTTTGTTTCTACCCTGTGCCCTTTTTAAAACAGCCTTATTGAGGTTTACTTTACATACCATAAAATATATCCATATTAAATGCACAATTCAATGATTTTTTAGTAAATTTACGGAATTGTGCAACCATCACTAGAATTCAGTTTTAGGTCCTATCCATCACCACACAAAGATTCTTCATGCCCATCTGCAGTCAATCCCTGTTCCATCCACAGCCCCAAGCAACCACTAACCTACTTCTTTCTCTAGAATCTACCTTTTCTAGACATTTCATACAAATAGGATCACACACTACAGAGGGTCCTGTGTCTGGCTTCTTGCACTCACTGTAGTGTTTTTGAGGTTCACCCACGTGGTAGCATGTATTAGTTCATCACTTTCATTGCTGAGTTCCGTTCCATGGTGTGAACTTAACCACATTTTATTTTTCTATTCACCAGTCAATAGACATTTGGACAGTCACCCCATTTTGGTTATTACAAACAATGTGGCTAATATAATAATATTCATGTCCACGTCTCTGCATGGACATATGTTTCCACTTCTCTTGGACAGATATAGGAGTCAAATTGCTGAGTTGTACAGTAAGTTTATGTTTAGCTTTTTAAGAGAGCACAAACTTTTCCAAAGATGCCAAACCACTTCACGTTCCCAGCAGTGGAGACAGGTTCCAGCTTCTCCACATGCTTGCCAGTCAAATGAAATTTTAAATGGCGAAATTTCAATATGTGACCCAGAGAAATCTAGAGACAAAGCACCCACTTGTATACCATTCAGGTTATGCCTTCGGGATACAGGTGAGCTTTGGGACATGGAAAAAGAACATTCGCGATCTAAAACCTCCTTTGAGACCCCTTTCCTGGTAGCAAGAGGCAAGACTCAAACCACCAGGTTCTTACCTACTGCCCACAACCCCCCTTTCTCAGTCTCATCTCAACCTTTACAGAAAGGGACTCAAAGCCCGGAATGATTCCATCTGCCTTGTCTTAGACACAACACCTGAGATTTCTTTCTATCAGACTGGGATCCTAGGTTATCTAAGCTCTAGGAATAATTTTCTAGAAAAGAAAACAACCTGGATCTGCCTGAGTTATGGACAGACAGCTTCCTTTATACAAGCTGAAAATCTATACACATGGCTATATAAAAGTAATAATCTTAGCTGCTTAGAGGAACTGTTCACACTGTATGCCTAATACGGTCAATAAAATTATCACTCATTAAAATTCAGAATAACCTTTCTCCAAGTTTTACATAATTATTGTACTAAGTTCTGGTCTCATACACAAACTGTAACTGATTCTTCTTACATCATGGTCATCTCCTCACAACTTGAAGTTTACAGAACTGTTCTTAAAGACAGTATGATAAACATTTCACCAATGTGGTAATATTAAAGACAAAAAACAAATGAATCAAACAACAAGGTCCCAAGGTTGAATATAGGGAACTATATTCAACGTCCTGTGATACACTGTAACAAAAGAATATGAAAAAGATTGTGTGTGTGTGTGTGTGTGTGTGTGTATAACTGAGTCACTTTGCTGCCCAGCACAGACAACACTGTAAATCAACCATACTTCAATAAAATAAAAACAATCAATACCAGTGAAGATGCTCTGAAAATTTCTGAATGTTACATCCAGAGTAAACTGACAACACAGCCTATGATATACAAATGGGAGTCTTAACTATGCTTCTCTCTTTCCTTTTCATTTAGGTACTTAGGTAGAAATAGGCCTGCTGACACCCATCTGTGGTTATTTGTTAGAAGAGATGTAATAATAACTACAAAACGGAATAACTAAAACTACCCCGCTTCAGGCATCTTGTTTCCCTCCATCTTACATTTCCTGGGGGGCAAATTTCAGTGCATAGTGTATGAAACACAAAATGCACAGCTTTGGGGTTTTCTTTCTGGTATTTTTTTAAAGTAATTTTCAAAGGTTATTTTTCACTTATACTTACTCTGTGTTACACAGTACATCCTTGAGCATCTCTTACACCTAACTTACCTCTCCCACCCCTACAGAGCCTGCCTCTGCTGGTAACGACTCGTTTGCTCTGTGACTCTGCTGCTTTTCTGTTATATTCACTAATTCGTTGTATTTTTTTGGACTCCACATATAAGTGATATCATGTAGTATTCACCTTTCTCTGACTTATTCCACTTACAAAATGTACAGGTTTTGAAAGCAATTAAGACAAGAAAATTCAAATATTATTTTGCTATTTGAAACTTTAACAATTTGGGTTAGAACAGACTTCTTATGCATTTTAAAATCCATTTTCACTTAGAGAAAATGAGTATATATGAAAACTATTTTATTGGTTGAACCAAAAAAAAATCTGCATTATCTTATTTTTAAATACAGTCTTTATGCTATTTAATTTCCTTTTATTAAATTATATTTAATTATCAAATAAACTATCATGTGCAGAGATGTGGATGGACCTAGAGACTGTCATATAGAGTGAAATAAGTCAGAAGCAGGAAAACACCATGTAATTACGCATAAATGTGGAATCTAGAAAAACGGTACAGATTGAAACTATTTGCAAACCAGAAACAGAAACACAGATGTAGGGAACAAATGCATGGACACCAAGGGGGAAAGTGGGAGGAATTAGGAGACTGGCATAGACATATATACACTATTGATATGATGTATAAAATAGACAACTAATGAGACCCTACTGTACAGCACAGGGAATTCTACCCAATGCTCTTTGATGACCTAAACAGGAAGGAAATCCAAGGACAAGGGGACATATGTATATGCATGGCCGATTCATTCTGCTGTACAGAAGAAACAAACAACACTGTAAAGCAACTGTTCTCCCAATAAAAATAAATTAATTATATTAAAATTAAAAAATACAATCCTACAGGTAATCAGTAGGCACCTCCTGACCTCTGGGCTTACTTCAGCTATACGATCTGTCCTTGTGATCGTTATAAGCTGCTTACGACAACAGCACAAACTTTTTGGGTTAGAACAGACCTCTTAACGCATTTTAACAATGAAGATGATGAAACAACAGAGGCCCGGAGGGATTGAATAACCTATCCAGTTACTAAATGAATTCAGAATCAGAAGTATTATGTTCAAGTTCTAGCATTAGCACACACTATGTAACCTTGAACAACATTCGTGATCCTCAGTTTCCTTATCTGTAAACTTGTAAAGTATATCATCCACATGATGTTAGGAGCAACATGACATAGGTTGGAGAAATCTCCTTCTGTACATAATGACAAAAATTTACACCAACCTTCTGAAGTTCATCAAATAACAGATTTTTCACATGTTGTACTGAGGCCAGATGCGTGTTTACCCTGACCGTGGTAAATGACGGAGGGTGAGACAAGTTATGTAACAGCGTTTCAAACCTCCTTTCTGCTTCTTGTTTACCTAAAGCAGACAGAATCTGAAAAGAAGGAAAGAACAAGTTACTGTTTCATTTTCATAATACAAATTAAAAATATTAAGATATATGCATATACATTTGTTCCAACTGATGAAACATCATTCCACAACATTCTGCTCCATTTCACTTTTCTGTTTCCATGTTGATAACACTAAGGTTATGGTGATTTTTCACAGGGTTATGCTAATAAACACCTAATGAAACACCTGATGAAAAGGGATTAGAAAATCACTACCTCAACCTCAAAGCATTAACATTTTGAACATAACTGCTACATTTATTCACACAAATTCAGGATTTCATTCTACTTACTTATAAAAATATTAACTGTTACATCACTTCTGTAGAACTAGTTCCCTGCTAACCTCATATCCTAGAGCGAATTGGCTAGTAACCTTTTAAAACACCAGTATTTTAAGAATACGTAACACCTGATACTGTCACCCAACAATCTCCCACAACATCAGTTTTTTTAATACGGTAGTACTACATGTTAGGATTCCCAGGTGGCGTAGTGATAAAAAAACTCGTCTGCCAATGCAATAGACACAGGAGATGTAGGTTTGATCCCTGGGTTGGGAAGATCCCCTGCAGAAGGAAATGGTAACCCATTCCAGTATTCTTGCCTGGAGAACCCCATGGACAGAGGAGCCTGGCGGGCTACAGTCCATGGAGTCACAAAAAGTCAAGACATGACTGAGCAAACATGCACATTATTATTAAAAGTAACAAGCAGATACTGTCCAAAAAAAAACCAGCAAGATACCCGTCAGAAATAAGAGTTATAAAGACTCAAATGACCAAGTTTCCTTGTAATCAACTGAAGCCTTCAAGACATGCATTTCACCATTTTTTGTCATCTTTGACCATCCCCTGCCTCACAGAATCTTCATAAACTACTTGCCAGCCTAATAATCCACTAGCCTAAAAATATTAGCACTTTCTCAGTGTTTATGTTTTTTTTAACCGAATATTTCACTACTTTTGATACTTTTTACATAGGGATAGCTTTTCTTTTTGTAAAATCCTGTTAGTATGTTTGAAAAAGAACTGGTGTCAAAGACATTTGAATTTTCTTTTATAAAACAATGTTAATCATTTCAAAAATTCTGCGGGAAGAAAACTGCCTCTATTTCTCTTAACACCCTCCCTATACTTTAAGTTTTTTGAAATCAAGAAGATATTTCCTAGGGGACTTCCCTGGTGGTCCAACAGGTAAGAGTTTGAGCTCCCAATGTAGGGGGCCTGGTTTCGATCCCTAGTCTGGAAACTAGATTCCACATGCTGCAACTAAAGACCCAAATGCTGCAGCTAAGACCCAAAGCAGCCAAATAAATCAAATATTTAGGAAAAAAGGAGACTATCTTTTCATACTGTGATGCTCTTTAACATAATCTTTGGGAATAAAAACATAGAAATCTAACCTAGAAGTCATGGCTTCACCAACATCTTTGAAAATGATTGATATTTGTGCGGCTTTACTTTGATACAACACCAAAGATTCGGAAAATACAAAGCTGCCTACAAGCAGGATGGTAAGGCGGAGAGCCACTAGCCTGGCAATCAATCAACATTCACTGAGGACTTCTGTGCTCAAGGCTGCCAGCAGGATGGAGAAGGAACACTTGTTGAGGACCTACAATGCCAGGTGCTCACCCTTATGACTAATACCTTAACCCTGAAAATTTAGTGGTGTTAAATGTCCTCCAACTTCACAGATGAGGAAAGCAAGTTTAAGAGATAGGAAAAAGCACTGAGATGCAAACCAGGGGGCTTGGGGTTCCAAATCAATTCCTTTTCCCACTGTACTAACACCTAACCTCTTTCCCTTCAGATTTCAACATTAGAACCATGACAGCGATGCAGACTTGATTCAGGAACATAACTCTTTGGACCCTCAGCTCTCTCACCTGTAAAAAATGGGGATGAAATATCTACCAAAAAAAGATTGCTAAGATTAAGATGTGGAGTTTCCCAGGTGGCTCAGCGGTAAAGAATCCACCTGCCAATGCAAAGAGCTGCAGAAGATATGGGTTCAACCCCTGAGTTGGGAAGATCCTCTGGAGTAGGAAACGACAATCCATTTCAGTATTTTTGCCTGGAGAATCCTATGGACAGAGGAGACCGGTGGGCTACAGGCAATGAGATCCCAAACAGTTGGGACACGACTGAGCACACACACAAGATTAAGAAGTTAAAGGTCTGCAAACCACCTAGCACAAGCAGTGGCATTTAACAAGCACTCGCTGAATGACAGTGTATCTCACCTGAGCACAGAGCAGACGCTGGAAGAACACAGGTGCTTCTTCCCTACAGGACTTATAATTCTCAGAGGACATGGATCTTTGCTTGCCTACCCCTGTAACCCCTTCAGTGCCCAACGCCTGTCGCCAGGCACACAACGGCTTTTTTCCTCCTCCCTCCCTTCCCATTCCGAAATGTTTAAAAAAAAAACAAAAACAAAAACACTCCATACATCTCTTAGCTCAGAAAGGATTCATTACATACCTGCAGAAAGACATCAGCATATTATATTAATGCATTGGGAAAGGCTAGTAATAAGAAACAACAGCTGTAAACATTTAATTGCCTTTTAGGTTTTTTTTTTTTTCCTATCCCTCTAGTGTGTAAATATTTGAATGTCTGCAAACAGCATCTAATATATTTATCTGACCTACCTCCTTATTCATAAAGCCCGCTTTAAGATAGTTTTCAACTTCAAGTCTCAAAGATATTTTAGGGAAAACAGACATTTTCCTACTGCTTGAGTTCTCCTCCTCTCGGAGAAATGAAAGAAAACGGTGGCTTTTCTCTGTCCAAATTGCAATGAACGTCTGGGCAATGAACACCACCCACGACGTGCCAGGACCATCCGATGCCAAAGCAAAGAGCGCTGTTCACGCCCAGTTAAAATGAGAAACGCGGAGGAACTTCCACGCCTTCTAGAGCTGGAACAGGTTGGAGCGGCTTCACCTCCAACGAACCTGTCCCGGGACTTCTTTAGCGACGCTCACGGACACCACTGCGAGGCAATGCCACTCACGTGGCAGGGGGGAGGAGGGGAATCGTGAGGCGTAAATCCGCTGTCAACTGCACAGAGATGTACAAAACCAGGCAGGCATCAATTTCGAAACTCGCAGCCCAGGTTGTTCAGCAGAGAGCGGGTTCCGGAATGCGTCAGTTCCGGCGACGTGGCCCGCCCCTCCTTCCCCCGCCCACCAATCCGCAGCCGTATATGGCCTCCACGTCACGCCTCCAGAGTGTCCCAGCTCCACCCGCGATGCATCTAGGTTCAGCTGGACTGGGCGGGCTCTCCTCAAGAGGCTGGAGCGGGGGCTGCCTTGGACCCGGAAACTGGTGGAGTGCTCTGTAGACCTGGCCTAAGAGAGCTGGGTGCCAGTTAGGAAGGGTTGAGTCGTACTGACCTGATTTTAAAAGGCGGGGGAGGGCCATGCAGGGAGACCTGGGTTGGATCCCGGGTGGTAAGATTCCCTGAAGAAGGAAATGGCAACCACTGCAGTAATCTTGCCTGGAGAATTCCATGGACAGAGCAGCCTGGTTGGGTATGATCCATGGACTCCCAAAGAGTCGGACACGACTGAGCGACTAACACTTTCACTTTTTCAGTCAGTTAAAGACTAGCTAACCTCCAAAGAATTAAACCAGAGTTTGCTTGAACCCTTCAGGCACCCTTTGAGTTTTATGAAATTTCCTTCCCTCTCTTAGGATTGCTGGCCTGATCTCAGTTGTAGGTAAACAACATTATTCAACTTTTTTAAACCTGGGTTCATGGTGTTTTAATATCTTTATATCCTCAGGTGAAACTTCAAAACACACGGGCAGTTTTTACAGTTAGTTGAATAAGGAAGGCTAACAGTTGCGGGTATGGGAGTTGATTTCTCCTTTAAAGCTCATGAGACCTTTGGTGTAATCTTTGTGTTAGAGGTGAAAAAAATTCAAAGGGAGGAGGGACCTAAGGAAAGATATAGTTTCCTATCCTTAAGTAGGAAACTAGAAATAATTCTTCTGTCTGGAGACAGTGTTCTTTGAAACACACCCCGTGGTCTTTAACACCGAACTGTAGGGAAATTTTTTCCTAAATGTTTTTCTCTTGAAATCTTACACAGAAATGTTTTTAGAAGTATAATACACTAACAATGATTGAGAACATCAGGATAACGACCACCGCCACCTGGCTTCTAAAGCCAATACCTACTTTTCCCACCCTGGCATATTTCTTCCATAAATTTATGGAATTCTTCTGTGGCTAAGTCATCTGAAAGTGATCAGGAAAATGTCTAGACCAGACCTTTCCAAAAGAATTTTTGCAGCCTCAGATGGTGACCACAGCACCAGTAACCTTTGTTATCAGTATCTAGGAGATAAGAGAAAGGAAGGAACAAGTTAAACTAGTTTGTAAACTCTGAGAAGGTGGAGACTTTTACCTCACTGCTGCTTACTGAGTGCCTAACACATAAGAAGCACTCAAATATTGAAGGAGTAGATGAATAAATGGATGGATAGCTCTGTAAACTAGAGAAAGAAAGTGCTCATCAGCATATATTTGCTGGATTATTAGTTCACTAGTTCACACGTCAACAGTGCTGAGGACATTTAGACAGTCCTTGGCTGGACATTAGTTTTTTTTAATAGTTTGCTACAAAAAATTGAATATAGTTCTCTATGTTATGCAGTAAATACTGTTTATTTTATATATGGTAGTGTGCATCCCATACTCCAAATGTATCCCTCCCCAATTCCGCTGGTGGCTCAGACGATAAAGAATCTGCCTGCAATGCAGGTGACCCAGATTCTACCCCTGGGTCAGGAAGATCCCCTGGAGAAGGGCATGGCAACCCACTCCAGGATTTTTGCCTGGAGAATGCCATGGACAGAGGAGCCTGGCAGGCTACAGTCCATGGGGTCGCAAAGAGTCTGACGTGACTGAGCGACCAACACATTTCCATTTTGGTAACCATAAGTTTGTCTGTGAATCTGCTTCTGTTTTGTAAATAAGTTCATTTGTGCTATTTTTTTATATTTCACATATGTGATATATTTGTCTTTCTGTAGACTAGACATTACTGAAGTGACAGTTATGTTGATGAAGAGGTCTCTTGGTGCTCTAAAACTGGTCCATATTACAAATCTGGAGTTGGAATAGTAAATACATATTGTCTAAGCAAGAGAAGACCCTTATAGGAATATACCCATAAAAGGGTCATTTGGGCTCTGTGTTCTATGGGGTGATATGGCCCTTACTGTGGGGAGAGCAGAAAAAAAATCTTAGATATAACCTTATGGTCTTAATCTCGGTTTGTGAAGCGTTGAAGCTTCCTTTAACCACCCCCTCCCAAAAAAAGCTCATAAAAACCCTATTTCCCAATATTTATTAAAGAAGGCATGAGAGGATTAGGGGGGGAAAGGTCTAGAGAAGGCTGGAAATCTATCAGTCTCAACTTATCTGGGTCTCCTGCATTGCAGCCAGATTCTTTACCAGTTGAGCTACCAGGGAGGTCCTATCAGGAGACTAACCTCTATAAACTCATATTAAAATGGATCCTAGACCACCCTACATGTAGAATCTGAATCGATTAAGTTTCTACAACAAAGGCTTCCCAGATGGCCCTCGGGGTAAAGAACCTGCCTGCCAATGCAGGAGATGCAGGAGACTTGGGTTTGATCCTTGGGTCAGGAAGATTTCCTGGAGAAAGAAATGACAACCCACTCCAGTATTCCTGTCTGAAAAATTCCATGGACAGAGAAGCCTGGCACGCCATGGGGTTGCAAAAAGTCAGGCATGACTGAGCACACACTCACACACAGAACAAAACATAGAAATAACCAGAGTCACCTTGTAGCCAACAAGGTCAGAGTGGTACTCAAGAGAGTTTGACCCCAGGAACAGGATTCAGACCAGGCAAGGGAGGCCCCTAGTGTGCATGCCTTTGGGAGGCACTCCATCTGAGATATGAGTCCTGAGAACACTTCCTTAGATTTGTGATGGTCCCGCTGGGCTTGCCATCACTGACAAATTCCAAAACAATAAAGTTTGACAGTATTGCCCAAGCAGCAGTACAGCTTACATCAATCACAGCCTGGATGCACTGAACAACTTAGTGGACAGAATGAGTCAGCCCACTAATGTTAGCCAAACTTTGTCTTCAGCCACCCTAGGCCTGGAAGTATAATAATAATATAATAATATTTTGGGGCATGCGAGAGAAGTGGTCACAGTGGCAGACATAGAGACACTGAAATAACTACCCAAAATACAAGTTGAACTATGATAAATACTGACATCAAGTTCCACATCAGTTTTATCTTTGTAGCCCCATCCTTAAGGCAGTGCCTAGCACATATCAGGCCCTATGCATGCATGTGTGCTAAGTCGCTTCAGTCATGTCCGACTCTTTGCAACCCCATGGACTGTACCCACCAGGTTCCTCTGTCCATGGGATTCTCTGGGCAAGAATACTAGAGTGGGTTGTCTTGCCCTCCTCCAGGGGATCTTCCCAACCCAGGGAAGCCCATTAGGCCCTAAATTGATAGGTAAGTAATTGGATAACTAAGTATAATTTATAGTTCATATCAAGCAAATATTTATGTAGCAACATATAAAAAAATAAATATAAATATAAGCAACAATTCTTGCATTAGGTATGTAGGTATAGCAGCTAGAGAATAGATAGTTAGCACCCCCCCCCCACCCACCTTAATGTTCAGTCTATTTTGGAAGTAGAGAAAATTAATAAGCAGTTACAAATATGATGAATGTTAAAACTAGGGAAACATGGGGTGCATGGAAGAGGAAATGGCAAGAAAATCTCATTTAATCCAATCTAAAATGGAATCAAAGAGCATAAAAGCCTTTCAGAAAGGAGAAGTGGGCTCCCAGAAGAGATGGTTACGTTAAAACCAGAAGGTTGACTTGGAGTTAGCTGGGCAGAAGAGGTGGGGAGCGCTGGGGAAGGAGAGGAAAAAGAACCAAAATCAGAATCTTCCAGCCAGAAGGAACTGTCTCATGCAGACTTGGTATGTAGTATATGAGAGGATGAATGGCAAGAGTACAGTTGTTTCTGGTTTTGCTTTTTGGGGGGAGGGAGTCACACCCTGTGACATTGGGATCTTAGTTTCACAACCAGGAATCAAACTCACACACCCTGCACTGGAAGGGCAGAGTATGAACCACTGGACCGTTAGGAAAGTCCTTCAAGAGTATAGTTTGGAGAGAGGGTCCAGACCCTACTTTTGAAGATTCCTGTTAGCTCTGATAAGCAAGGAAGAACTTTATCCTAAGGCCAATGGCAAGTTGTTAAAGAGATTCAAAGCAGGAGAGTAACAGGCTCAGATTCATATCACATCTTTAAAAGATCATGTCAGATGATTGTGGAAAAAAGACTAAAACTGGTACAAGAATGGAGGCAGAATAATCTATCCAAATGCAGTTCCAGTAATCCAGGGGATGAGGTCAGAGAGAGCTGGATAGATGTGAAAGATATTCAGACATGGAATTTAGCAGGACCTAGTGACTAAGCTGATGTGTGAGGGCAGGGAAAAGAATCAAGAATAAATTCCAACTTTCTATGGACCTACCAGTATCTTCACCCATATTTCTGCATCTCTACCCATTAACTTACATAAATCATAGACACAATTCATTACGTTTGAATTTGGCTCTTTTCTAGAGTTGTCTGGAACTACTTCCTTCTTTGGGGAGCCTTATGCATTAATTGTTACCTTCCAAAAGTTTATACTTGTGGTATATGTTTGTTCTGAAAATGCAGTTCTATCCTGTGTGTGTGGTAGTCGCTTCAGTCGTGTCCAACTCTTTGTGACCCCATGGACTGTAGATACCCAGGCTCCTCTGTCCATGTGATTTCCCAGGCAGGAATACTGGAGTGGGTTGCCATTCCCTTCTTCAGGGGATCTTCCCAACCCAGGGGTTGAACCCAGGTCTTCTGCATTGCAGGTATATTCTTTACCATCTAAGCCACCAGGAAACGGCTAGATGATATGGTAGGTTGAATAATAGCCCCCTCTCCCCCTCACAAAGATGTCCATGTCCTCATCTCTAGAACCTGTGAATGGCAAAGGGATTGTTCAGGTGAGGTTAAATTAAGGACCCTTAAAATGGAGAGATTATCCTGGATTAAGA